ACACACACACACACACACACACACACACACACACACACACACACACAACCTGTCCTGTCTGATGATAACTGCTCTCAAATTCAGTGCATGAGGGAGGAGATTCCCTTTGGGTTCCCTTAAAAGTCAGTTCTTCCTTTTCTACCACTTGCTCTCAGGAAAGGAGCCCTCAGCCGACCCATCCTCCGGGCTGCTACGAATACCCAGCTGCCCTGTTAGCTTGCAGGATGTTTCACGTGCCTCTGAGGTTTGTAAAAACAACGATTCCCACTTCCCTGAGGGCAGAGAATCACTTTTCTCATCCTGCCTCATTCTCTTCATAGTTTAGTTCACCAAAGAATTATAAAATACTCTTCAGTTCTAAATTCTAATTCCCATTGTCCCTCAAAACATAATAAAAACGATATCAAGTCATGAAGTTTATCCACTCAGTGACATACTAAACTGTTAGGTACATATATGTAAGATGCTCCACAAATGCATATACGTGCTTTCGGCGTGCACGCCCTTCGTGCCCCGCGCGTCCCGGCAGCCCCAGGCAGTTCCTGCGCTATCAGGTGTGCAGCCGCAGGATGCCTCCGGGAAGTGAGCTGGGCTGGGAGAACGGGTCGTGTGAGACCACGCTGCTCCATCCGAGAATCACGCTCCCTAACAGGGTTGGAAAGAAGGCAGGAAGCAGAGCTGAATGCTCCAGAGTCTTTCCAAATATTGCTCCATCCACTTCAACCACTCTTTCTGGAACTGTTTTGCAAGGATAGCTCCTTCTTCAAGTCCCAGCTGAGAAGTCACTTCGTACTAGAGGCCCACTGGACAGCTCTGCCTCCCGTAGCCCCTCAGCCACGATGCCCACACCTGTCCTTCATTTAACCTTAGCTTGTTTGCTTCCTTCCAAATATTTTCAGGTTCATGGGTGTTTCGTTGATCCAATTACATTGGCTGTTTTAAAATCTCTTTCCTTTCTAGAAAGTCTATTAGGTAAGGAACAGTCTTTTTCACTACTGAATCCCCAGTGCCTAGCCCACGATATGTGCTAAATAAAAAAAATGCCAAATACATGGACTCTTCTAAGTGTCCAGTCAAGGTCTCTTACTCCTTCTACAGGTTGATCATATTCACTGCCGCCTGTCCATTTTCATCTGTGCTTGAAAGCATTTACCATACTGTTTTGCAATTTTTTTGATTTACTTTCCTGTCACCACAAAAGTCATGGGCTACTGAACACCAGAAACACTGCCTTATTTATCTCTGCACCTTCGATACTTGGCATACACATGGGCTCAGAGAACCAACTGGTTTGCAAAGACTTCTCAACATCATTTTGTTTTCTTTACTGGTGATCATTAGCCCTGAACGTTCCCTTTGTTGTTGTTGTTTTGTTGTTGTTGTTGTTGTTTTAAGATTTTATTTTTTATTTGACAGAGAGAGAGACAGCAAGAGAGGGAACATAAGCAGGGGGAGTGGGAGAGGGAGAAGGAGGCTTCCCACGGAGCAGGGAGCCGGATACGGGGCTCAATCCCAGGACCCTGGGATCATGACCTGAGCCGAAGGCAGACACCCAATGACTGAGCAATCCAGGTGCCCTTCCCTTTGGTTTTAAATGGCTGGCAGTTCTGCTGCCTCTGGTCCAACCTGTCATGGGGTGGGGGCAGGGGGTGGCAAATGTGAGAGTAAAATGCTAGAAGGCAGAATTACTACAGAGAGACTCTGAAGGAGTAAGTTATAAATGAAAATAAGACAGTACTATAGTATAGGGTTCAGTAAGGCACAAACAGATTAATGAGAGCTCAGAAAAATAAACCAGAGTGGAAAATGGACAGATGAGTCCAACACAGGCATGTGCAAGACCAGGAAACAACAGAGTGATGGGGAAGGAGAACCAATTTCACCTCACTACAGCCGAACCCAGGGTGCGAAGAAAACACTTCTAAATGAAAACAACTCCACTGTTCTCAAAGAGATTACCTGCAGCAGGTCTTAACAGTGCATTTTGTTCATAAATACTTGTTTCAGTGACTCAGGCATTATTTCACTTATACTTTTACTGACATTTTCACTACCTGTTGATTTTGCATCTGGCGGAGCCTGCAATAGGTAATCACTTCCCGGGTTCTAGAAAGTCTGAGATCACTTGACGTGAGTCAGAGAGGCCCTCTGGCTTCCCCCAGGGTGGAGTGTGAGGGATGGAGGAGGGGAGAAGGTGGAGGGCCTCAGAACCTCCACCGAGTACGCTCTGGGCTGCGGACTGAGCCACCTGTACCTTCTACATGACGACATCACTGTGTTTGGGTGGAACGACCCGTATTTACTCCTGCTGGCACTCTGCTAGGAACGTGGGAAGATATGGACTCTAACTGTTCAAAATAAATACTTCAATTGATGAAATAGTTTCAGGTAATATTTTTAAAAAGCGAATCTGATGTAAAGAACTAACAGCTCTACACTTCTTAAAACTTAAAAGGATGCAAAAGTTAAAAATCATTTATATGCATTTTTTTGTCTCTACAAATAATGAGAGTAATAGGATTTAGTTAGAAAATGAATACCAGGTGATGGGTATCAAGGACAGCACGTGATGTGATGAGCACTGGGTGTTATACGCAACTAATGAATCGTTGAACACTACATCAAAAACTAATGATGTTGGCTAATTGAACATAATAAAAAAAAAAGAAAGAAAATGAATGCTAAAAAGAATAGTCACTTTCTTAATTGTCCATCATCTCTAGGAGATGCTGACTCTAAAGACATCTGCATAGGAATGTGACAAAGCAACAGCAAGCACCTGCCAGGTCAAAGGTCGGTTTGCCACCAGGGTATAAGTCACCTGACAATAGAGAGGAACTGTCAATTCTCCCCCGTAGTCATCTCTTTCCTCCACAAACAGCAAAAACCCCTGCAGCCAAACAAGCCTCACACACCGAATGCCAAAGAACACACAGGGAGACATGATGGAAAGGGCATGGGTTTCTGAGCCACGCTCATTCATTCACCTTACTCCCTCATTCAAAAACAGGTGTTCAACAAGCACCTACAATAAACCAGATGCTGGAGACACAACCGTGCACAAGATGAAGGTCTCGCTGCCACAGACCTCACAATGGACAGGACAGAGAGAGATAAGAAAGGAATAAACAGGTAAATGCCTCGTATACCAGATGCTGCTGAGTGCGGAGCACAAGAACGAAGCAGGGCCAGGGAAGAGGGAGTGCCCACACAGGGTGATAACCGGCCTCACCCTGAAGGTGACATTTCAAGCGAGAACAAGGCAGAGAGCAGCTTGTGGAGGTTAAGAATATCCAGGAAGGGAGAAAAGCAGTTCAACGGCCCTCAGGCAGAAATGTGACTGGCCCAGGGGGAGACGGGACTGGAGCAGGTGCGGAGGGGAGACAGGGGCAGAAGCTGGAGACAGGCGGGGGCAGATGTCAGACCCAGAAGGCTTCTGTAGGGGCAAGTGAGGACGGGCTCTGAACCCAGTGACGCACGAACTGGAGGGTTTTCGGCACGAAGTCACCTGGTTCTAAATGGATGTATTCTGGCTCTGGGCTGAAAAAAACTCGGGAGCCATGGTGGGATTAAATAGGCCAGGAGGGGGTGGTGGGGTGAGTGGGCAGGAGAGGGTGACAGCACGTGCAGGCTGACGTGGAGCCCGGCTGTC